GCTCTTGGAGGCCTCTTTGGGGCCGTCCTGGAGGCCTCTTGGGCCATCCTGAGGTCACGTCGGTCACTCTTGGAGCGCTCTTGCGCTGTCATGGGGGTCTCTGAGACGTCTCCGATGACCCCCCTGATCGCCCTAGGTTTGCTGGGAAGGCTTGGCAAAACGCCCTGCGAGGCCAGGGGGGCCGCTTCGAGGCCCGTCCGGAGGGTCCCAAAGCCCCAGATCCCGGGAGTCCGGTTTTTTTTTTGGGGGGGGGGGGCGGTGACGGGTTTTCCCCCCGCCCGGGCTTATACAAATACAGGAAGAGGAATATATGTATACAGGCATACACACATACACATATATATGTGTATATATATATATATATATATTCCTACCCGATGGCCATGAGGCGTCTGTATATATATATATATATATATATGTATATATATATATATATATATATATATATATATCCGCCACCGTGCCCCTGTGGCACGAAGTGGGAGTGCCCCCAGGTCCCTTGCTCAACCCCTGAGCCCCAGCCCTGAATCCTGAGGCCTCTTTCAGGAGCCCGAAGCGGGGCTCTCAAGTCTCCCGGGGCTTGTCGCGTGCCCGCTGAGCACCGGGGCGTCTTAACGTGCGCCTTCTGGCCCAAGAAGGCCCCGAACCCCAAGAGACTTTCAAGACGATCGAAAAAAAACAATCGACGAACGATCGGTTACAAGACTCCCAAGATGGCCTCCAGTCGGCCGAAAACCCGCCCAAGACGTAAGGCCTCAAAGAGTACCCCGAAGAGGGCCCAAAGATGGACAACTCGTTGACATCCCCAATGTGTTATTCATGTTGGGGGGGTTGTCGACTGTTCGAGCTTCCCACGCTCCATCACGTCCCAAGAGGCCCCAAAGACCGCCCCAAAATTGTCCAAGAGGCCCTTCAGACGGCCCCAAGACGGCCCAAGAGGGCCCAAAAGGGCCCCAAGAGTGGGAACCCGAGCCCAACAATTCGAGCCTTCCGTCCCAAGATACCCCAGGAGGAGACCCTAAGAGGCCCCCAAGAAGCCTCAAGAGGCCTCCAGAAGCCCCCCAGGAGGCCCCCAGGAGGCCCCCACTACGCCCAAAAGAGGCCCCCAAACGGCCCCCAGCAGGCCTCAAAATTGCCCTCAGGAGGCCCCGGAGAGCCCTCCCGCGACATCCCAACGAACAGTCCCTTCACCCTCCCCCTTGTCAGCTTCACTCGTACAGTCAAAGACCCTAACAAGGACGCGCGGTAAGGACGAAAGACCCTTGGAAGCCGAAGTTGGGATTTTTGGGGCGGCGGACGACGAAAATCTCAAGGACGCAAGAGCAAGGAAGAGCAAGGACGCAAGGGTACCCTGAGCAAAGTCGCGCGTCCTTATTAGGGTTTTTGACTGCACGTTGATGAGATTGCCGCCATTCCTATTCCTTCTCGCCTCCTTGCCACGACCCCTCCGCACACCCCCACCTCCTACGATCCTCCTACATCCTCCTTATTGTCCTCGGGGGCTACTCCCCCTCCTCCTCCCCCTCCTCCTCCTCCTCCTCCTCCTCCTCCTCCTACCCTGCTGTAACGAAACCTGTTCGCCTGCCTTCTCAGCAGGGCTGGGGGCGTGTGAAAGCAAATCTGAGAACAACAGCCCAGCCTGTGGGTCAAGAAAAGCAGCAGACCCACACCCGCTTGCAGGTGGGCGAGCGAGCGCGTGAGGTGATTGGCGCTGTCCCTCCCTGGTGGTCCAGAATATCCTTTGAGGGGGGAGGCTCGGGTAGGCAGGATCAGCCGGCATCGGATCAGGAAATCACATTGACCAGGAATGCGAGTACCGAGACGCATCGGCCGCGCCAGCATGCACAGCACGTCGAATCGTGGGAATCGCATCGGGTCGAGCCGGCCGGAATCGATATCGAATTGGATCGATCGGATCGAGATGGGGCCCCTGGGGAAGGGTCTGCGAGCTCGTCAATCCATCTCTGTGGCTCTCAGAGCCTCCAGATCCATTCAAGGGCGCCTCCGGTGGGCCCAAGGCGGCCCAAGGTGCCTTCCAAGGCAGCTCCGAAAGAACCCGTACGCAGCGAATAAGCCCCAAGACGGCTCCAAGCGGCTACGGAGCCTCTAACCCCGAGGGGCCAAAATCGTTCAAATATCTAGAATGCTTCGATTACGTTTTGTCTGCTCGCCTTTTCGTTTCCAATGGGGTTCTAAAGCCTCAAGACGGCTTCAAGATCGCCCTAGGGGGGGCCCAGAAGCGCTCCACGACAGCCCCGAAGGCTCCCAAGAGCACTCGAAAAAGCGTCCTAAGAGGGCACAAGAGGCGAACTTTGGCTCCAAGCGGGGAGCCCTTACTTAGGACACACACTTCCTGGATCGATGGCTTCCAGGACGGCTCCAAGAGGGCCCCCAAAGCACCTAAAATACCCTCAGAAAACTCCAAGGGGGTACGAAAAGGCTCCCAACTAGACCGGAGAGCAAGTTTACTTCAAGACACATTCACAAGCCCACAGGAGGTATCTGAGTTCATCAATGATGTAAGCAATGAAATCGGAGGCCCCACCCCATTTGAAGCAATTTGGAACTCATTCGGAAAAGTATATTTCGATCCGCACCCTCGCGTGGAACGCGCCTGCAATGGCCCCACACAGTCCGCGCATTCACTTCTGGCTGCGAACGCGCATGGAGTTTGCATTTATTCCCGCGCAATGTATTCACCGATTACGTCTTTGCCCCCTCCCAGGGTCAGACTACTGCCATTGTGGCCGTGCGCCCTCTCGCGGCGACGATGTTCCCAGATCCCACGGCGTCATCTTGTTGAAGACAGCCTTGTCTGAACAAGAACAGATATATGCGAAAAAATATGCATGTAAACACAAGGTATAGTGTTATGCAACAGTAACGAGTACCGTTCTTCACGTATGCGACACATGTTAACTATTCGTGCATGACAGTACGAACAGTTAAGACATATGCAATACGTATACACTATATTTGGGAAGTGTCGTTTGCCCTGGGGGCGCTGCGAAGTGTGAAATTGTTGCCACTTTCGAGGGCTGCTGGGGAACCAGCGCAATGGGGTCACACGCAGATCCAACTGGGACCTCGCCATCCTTGGGGGGCCGCGCAATGTGAAACTTTCTCCAATGTCGAGGGCTGCTGGGGGAGGGCGGCACAGTGGGGCCGTGCGCACACCCGAACGCGGCCTTGCTATCCCTGGAGAGCTGCGAAGTGTGAAGCTGCCGCCGCTTTGCGAGGGCTGCTGGGGGGGCCAGCAGGAAGTGGCCCCGCGCACACCTGAACGGGACCTCGCCATCCTTGGGGGGCCGCGAGGTGTGGAACCGTCGCCACTCTCGAAGACTGCTGGGGGGGCGGGCCAGGGGGACCTCGCCGTCCCCGGGGAGGGGGGGAGGGCCGCGAAGGCACGCTTGAGGGCTGCTGGGGGAGCCAGCACAGTGGGGTCCCACGCAGACCTCGAGGACCTCGTCATCCCTGGGGGCGGGGGGGCTGGGCCCTGACCGCTTCTTGCACCAGTTACGGAAGCTTTTTGATGCTGCGAGGCGCTGCAGCAACGCGGAGCGCTGGCCGCGCAGGTGCTGGGCAATTCGGCATGGATGGAAAAAGTGGCACTTCACTGTCTGCTTGTGTCTCCGCCTATGTGACCTTGTCTTGCACATTCTCCATCATGGTGCTACTTCTGCCGAGGTGGTTGTTCTTCCATCTCGATGTTTTCCTTTTGCTTCTCCTTCCCAATACAATGCCTCGTGGCCTTTTGTACCCCTGTTCTGCGAGCCGGCCACGCACACTTCGCACGATATAGATACCCGCCGTGCACCGTCTCTTGCAGTGTAGCTGTCGCACTATTGTCGGCACATCTCATATCATCCCTTGGTGCCGATGGGTTGGGTACGTTGCAGTGTAATTATCCCAGCCCGGTTTTCTTTCAGAGGAAACCTTCATCCCTCCGCCGCGTGGCCCTGGAAGAGGAATGCGCGCAGCGGAGGTCATTCTATCCGACGCCCAACTTGGTACTTGCGAAAGAAAATCAAGAAACGGGCAAACAAAAGCACAAGGTGCACCGCATCCGAACCAAGAGACGACCTGAAAATCAATGGGGCAAGATACTTCTAAATATTCGAGGGCGGGAGCTGGACCTCGGATTCGACTAATGATGATGGCATATTGTGTCACTGAGTGCTCATGTGCGTCCCTTTTCCCGGCTCTACCTGGAAATTGTTTCTGCATGGGCTGCTGGGGATGCGGAAATCGTCAAATGGCACATTCGCCCATCCACCTTTGTGGGGAGTCGGCAAAATGGCATAAGCCTCTTGAACAAGTGAAGGACGATCATGACCAGCCTAAGGGAAGCTCGCTAAGAAAATCCGCATTTAGCCTGCCCCCTTCCCCGCTGGAAATCGCACGCGTGGGTCTAGTTGGCGAGCATGACATCCGTCATCATCCTCGTCAGAATTATCCTCATCCTCGCGATCCTCCTCGTCATCGAGCTCGATTCTACCGCATCCTCCTCCTATGCATTCTTGGTCCCGGCCTCCAGGATTACGGAGATAGAGAGGCACAAACTGCGTGAACGGAAACCTCCAAAGATCCTCGCAGACTTGTTTGGTCAGCGCTGGGCCCGCGTGGCGGCGCCTCCTCCGGCGCCGTCCCTGGTGCCACTGGAACGGGACCCAGCGCCGACCAAAGAAATCGGCGCGCACATTCGGAAAAGTATGCTGATGCTGCTCCTTGCTTTTCCAAGAGGCGTGCGGTACACCTCTTCTCCCTGCACCGCTCTTGAGGGGCCTGTTTTCCACCACCACCACCATAAGTTGGAGGGGGGAAGGAGGAGGAGAAGGAGGACGAGGAGGAGGAGGAGGAGGAGGACAAGGAGGAGGAGGTGGAGGTGGAGGTGGAGGAGGAGGAGCAGGAGGAGGAGGATGACCCTATCCCCCACCAACGTATGGTTGTGGCGGTAGTAGTGGAAAACAGGCCCATCATGCACCGCTCTCCCGAGGCACCGCCATCGGCGCAAGCATGCCCTCCAGCGGCTTCGCGTCGTGCGCCAGCGACCCCCCGTACCTGTCCTCCTGCAGCGGCTCCTGGGGGAACCGTAAGGAGCGGATACCGCCACTCTTAGATCGGGCATGCCCCCCCTTGCAGCGGGATTTTGGACCCAAATAAAAATTAAAAGAATAAAGGTAATGATAACGATAATAATAAACATCATACTGATAAAAAAGCATAAGGATCGTAACAATAAATAAACTCCACAAATGCCAAAAATGAGCAACAAATACTCAACAAGTCGTCCCCAGACTGTCTTCTTGCTATTTTTGAATACTCCTCCTGTAGAGGGACATTCCCGACTTGACGCCACTCCAGGGACCTCTCCTGGGGTGCGTTCTGACAACGATTTCGAGGCGAACCCAGCAGTGGCGACGAGGGCCTCCCAGGCGACCCCAAAAAGGGAAAAAACGAGGCAAGGGTAATCGGCTACACGCAGGAGTGACCCTGGGTAAGAGTGACCTTTGGTGCGCGGCATTTTGGGGGCCGCGGGGGACCAAACCTGGGCGCGCAAGCCGCTGCTCCTGCTTCGTTTTCAGCCGTCGGGGGGTTACGTCTGGTCGAGGGTAGCGGTATGGTTACCTCTTCCTGCCGGGAGCTCCAGCGCGTACCGGCTCTCTTCCTCGCGCGGCGCCTTCTGCTTGTCCTCCCTCCGCCTCTGGTTTATGGCCTGGCGCCGGGGCGCGTGCGCGCCGGGCGGGGAAGGCGCACCGCAGAAGAGGCAGCGCACCGCGCTGCGCGAGCCTCTGTACCACAGTACGGTGAGGGCACTGGATAAGGAACCAGTGGATAAGGAAGCCAGGGTCTGGAAGCCAGTGGAGCTCCAATCGCGGATTGGCCATGGATGTCACCGCCGCCCTCATCAGGTAAGGAATCCTCCAGGGTCCGACGCCTCTTGGGCACATTCCTTATCCAACGCCCGCACCGTATGCTGCTTCGGAAGAGCGCAGTCCAGCGCGGGGGGGCAGTACTCTTTTGCGTCGGCGGCGAGGCAGGGGAAGTCTGTGCTAGCGGAAAAGCCTAAACGGGGGTGCCGTTAGGGCAGATTGTGCTACCGTGCAAGAGGGGGAGCAGGAGGATGACGCGGCCGAGGAGGAGCAATACACAAACCGTTTGCTGATGTGAGCGTGGCTGGCAAGCCCCTCTCTGCCCAGGGCGTCGTCCTCCGGGACCGTTTCCAGATGCTCTGAACCGGAGCTCGAGGCCAGCACTTCGCACAGCCGAAATGCGCTGCATATTAAGAGAGAGAGAGAGAGAGAGAGATACAGAGAGAGAGAGAGAGCCTGCAGAACTACAGCCAGAAGTCTGTGCAGCTGTGGGGCGCAGCCTATTGGGGGTACTCTGTGGGGTGCCAGCTGTGGACAGCCGCTCCTCGGGCGAGATCCGTGGGGCGTGTACCTATTAGAGGTACGCACCCCGACGGATATCAACCAAGCTGGATCCTGTCTGCCTGTGAGAGAGAGAGAGAGATAGAGAACAAAAAAAAAAAGAAAGAGAGAGAGAGAAGCAACGTGGTGCGCACGTTCCACCGGCACCCGCTTGCCAAGGGTGAGAGAAAGCGTCGAGGTGGTTGGCTGCCCCCCTCCTCCTTGCCCCCTCCCCGTGGCCCCAAATCTCGTTTGAGGCAGCTCCCCTACGCAACCCAGGGCCTCAGAACCTCCTCCAGATCCGCCCTCTGACGCCTCCAGGATGCCCATCCACAGCGGCTTCAGAAAGGCTCCAGCAAGGCAGGAACTCAAGAGGCCCTGGGAGACCCTGAGAAGGCCGAAAGAAATCCCAAAGAAAGACTCAGGCTTCCCGAATCGTCATAAAAACAACTTTGGTGGCTCAGCGTTCCTTACTGTCTCGTCTTGTGGCGGCCGGGCGCCTCCGAGAGGGTCTGGAGAAGTCTTCCAAGCAGCAAAAGATGTCCCGAAGATGGCCCCAACATCGCCCCCCAATAGTTCCAACGGCTCCTGGCTGCTCTCCAAGCCGGCCCCGGGGTTGGCCCAGGACGGCCCAAAACGACCCCGCAAATCGGGAATCACGGCGGCCCCCAGGGGACAATGAGCACGCAAATCTCTGAATGAGTGAATGTTCTTGGCGGCGCGCACAGGGGGGTAGGGAGAGGGGAAGGCTTCTTAGAAGGAGCCTGCTTCTCAGAAAGAGCCTGATTCTTAGAAGGTGCCTCATCTCTGGCCCGCGCCTTCTAAGAAGCAGGGGTGCTTCTAAGTGGCCTTCTCCCCTCCCCCTACCCCCATCTGCGCGTGGACGATGTTGGGCCCCTGACCTAAACACGATGGACACTTCCTGGGCCAAACATTGGGCTCTTCTCGTGGCCTGCGCAGGGGCCTTGCAGGGAGATCTTTGCACGAGTTCTGGGGCTCCTAGGGTATTGGAGCCGCGTGGGGGAGTCTTGCAATCACTGCTGGGCCGAAGAACGTACACGACCGACTCACAGTTCTTTGTCAGCGTTTGGGTATGCCTGGGGGGCCAACACCAACGGGAGGCCAGAAGGGCACCGCACCCACCCCGAAACTCGACGCCAACACTCGCGCCCACACACTACGCCGACACTCACGCCCCACACTTGCCTTATGTTGCCCCCATCGTACTGAAGGACCACATCCCAAAAATAATTTCGAGCACCCGGAAAAGTGTCGAAACAGTGTCGAACGAGTGTCTCCCAGCGCCCGACACGTGAAAACCCCCGAGTTTCGGTACTTTCTGGGTGTTCGAAATTCTTCCTGGTGCTCCAGGCTGCAGTAGGCTGGCACATCATGACACTCGCGCCCACACACTCGAGCCCACGCTCTACGCCCACAGTCTGCTCCTCCTCCCGCTCTTCCTGCTCCTCCTGCTCCTCCTGCTCCTCCTGCTCCTCCTGCTCCTCCTGCTCCTCCTGTTCCTCCTCCTCCTCCTGCTCCTCCTCCTCCTCCTCCTCCTCCTCCTCCTCCTCCTCCTCCTCCCCCTCCCCATCCCCCTCCTCCTCCTCCCCCTCCGAGAAAGCACGCCGAGTCCGCGTGCTCTCTTGGAAACAGGGGGGCAAGGCAAAAACACGGGCACGGCACGCGCAGACCGCCGCCGCCGCGCTCCTCTGCCGAGACCGCCCGGCTGCCGAGCGCACGCGGCCGCACACCCCACGCCCCGCCGGCTGCCGGCCGTCGAGCAAGCCGTGGGCTCGAGCAGCCAGGCACGCGCACAGGGGCCCAGGGACGCCCAAATAGATACACACAGACCCCAATACTTCCCACAGGTCTCCGCAGTTTCTGGAGCCCCGTCGTCCACCCGCAGAGCAAGGATGCGCGAGAATGGGGCTAGGCCCCTGGACGCCCATTTCGACGCGTGTCGAGCGGGGCGCGGCCCACGAAAGTGTCCAAGGATGGACCCAGGAAGCAAGGATGCAAGGGTGCCCTTGGGAGGGATGCCTATCCTTACTCTGCGGGTCGACTGTAGATGCACACAGACCCCAGGATGTCCCACATCTCCCAAATTTTTCTGGAGTCCCACTTTCCACCCCGCGCCCCAGAACTATATTCCCAAATTTTCTTGGGAGTCGACGATTCATTGTGTCTGTGTGTCTTTTCCCCTCCTGAGCGTGACATCGCTCGGATGTCCATTTTCCGCGCATGCTCAGTTGTTGTTGCTTTTTGTTCGCAGGATGACCCAGTACTTCTGCTCCTCGATGGCCCTCGCCAAGGAAATGCACACGTCCGAGAGACGCCAGGGGCAAAGGCTCACGCAACCGAGCGGCATGGAGGGGGTTCTTCTCTTGCGCGGCGGTGCTCCAGAGCTCGGAGAGCCCCTTCCTTTCGTCGCTCGTCGTCGCTGCCCTGCCGCCCTGGTCACCCCCAGATCCATGGCCCCTGGCTGGCCTGCCCTCCCCAAAAGCCCCCCTGGCCCGTGTAAAACAAAGCCAGGAGCAAGACAAAATCCGATCGAATTGAATCGGAGACCTCCGAGACCCAGCGATCTGGAGGATGTCTCGGGCGCCGAGGCAATTCCAGAGCTTTCCAGGACGCTCCCAGAGCATTCCAGAACGCCGTGGAGCGATTGATCCAGCCCCTGGGCCTGTCTGACCCCAGACTTGCGACGTCTTGCTTTCGTCGTACGCGGCCCCTCAAAATCCCCACCCGTTCCCCGGGACCGGCTTTTAATCATGAGCCGTTGCTGGGGCCTGGCGAGGGCCTCCAGCGAGGCGAGGCGAGGCGAGCGGCATGCGGAGAGTCCGCCCCCGTGGAGGGCTGCCGGTACACTGCCCACTTTTCACACGCGCTTCTTTCAGGAATTGACAAAACAAAAGATATACATATGTAACGTCACAAGCAGACAACAAAAAGCAACATCGCACAATTGCTGCACTGAAGATGATGACGTGGCTCAGTCTGTCCAGCGTTTGAGCGGCCTCCCCGGCCGACGCAGCCCAAACGGGATCCACTGTAGCACTCGGCGAGCCCACGGGCTGCCCTCGGCACGTGCAGTTTATTGCATAAGTTTGTCCTTGCGCTCCTTCTGCAAGCCCACCCAGCTCTTGATGCCTGCACGGTCGCGTGCTTCCTTTGCGTCGTGGGTGGCCCTGATGACCCATTCCACCCAGGACTCCAGAACCGCCTCTCCGTCGTCGGTCACGATTCTGCGCAGGCCACGCCGGACTATCTTTCGAAACGTGCGCCTTTGCTCCGAGAGAAGTCGACTCTCTCTGTCGCCCGTCATCGCCCGAGCACCACTTCCACAGAGCACTGTGGACGTCACGACTGCTTCGAAGAGTTTCAGCCTCGACATCAGGGAGTTTTGCTGGCCGCACAGCTCGTCGCGAAACTTCCCAAACGCCGCCCATCCCCGGCTGACTCTGCGACTGCTTTCTGTATCGTGGGACTAATTGATAGTAGCCGGCCCAAATACTGCACGCTGCCGTCAAACGGGAAAACCTCCACAATCCCATCTCCGACCTGCACGTGCTTCAGCTGGATAACCCCCCTCCTCTCCGAACTGTTCGACGCGATTTTGGTCCTCCCCAGATGCAATTTCAGTCCTGCTTTTGACGCCGCTTCTCGCAAGTCTTCGAGCATGTGCCGCACAGCAGCCCGAGACGTACCCAGAATCAGAATGTCATCTGCGAAGCGGAGGTTCGTTAAGTAATAGGCGTTCAGCTTGATAACCAACTACTGATGATAAGAAAAGACCCCCTTTCCACGCTAGAGTTGATTATCCACGGCCAGTAGGAGTTTGGTCAGGGGCGCGGGGCGCGGAGGCCGAACTGTCTTATCACTGTGAAAAGTTCACCATCGAGGTTAGCTTCCTTCTTATGTTGAGATAGCATCATCAAGCGAAGCGAAGACGTTTTCGAGGATGTCTCCAGCGAAAACAACAATCTTTGGAGGCAGCCTCAAACGAAACGACCAATTTTTCAAGGATGTCTCAAGCGGAACCAACAGTTCTTCGAGGATGTCTCAAGCGAAGAAAGAGACTTGTCGATGAGAGACTTCCTCCTCCTCCTCCTCCCCCTCCTCCTCCTCCTCCTCCTCTCTCGCTTTTTTGTTATCTATCTATATATATATATATACATACACACATCTCTCTCTCTCTCTTTGTCTCTGTCTCTCTCTCTCTCTGACTTGTTCCTTCTCCCCCTGCCCATCCTGAACTTTTTGTTTTATCGTTGTGGTTTACTATCCACGGAAACCGAGGCACATGAGGCACCCTACACGTGCAGATGAACATCTGAATTTCCATTGTTCGTTTACAGATTAAGTTTAATAGGTTTGGATATTTGGTGTTTCTCCTCCTCCTCCTCCTCCTCCTCCTCCTCTTCCTCCTCTTTCTCTCTCTCTCTCTCTCTCTCTCTCCTTCTGTCTGTCTATATGTCTCTACTTCTCTCTCTCTCTCTGTCGAACTATGTGTACAGTTGTGTCTCTGTCTCTATCTGTCTTCCTCATTCCCCCCCTGGCACCGCGATTTTTGTTTATCGCTGTGGTTTACTATCCACGAACACCGAGGCACGTGAGCTACCCTACACGAGCAGATGAAAATATGATTTTTCACTGTTTGCTTTCGAATTAAGTTTAATTGGTGTGGAACGTTGGCGTTTCTCCTCCTCCTCCTCATCATCATCATTATCTCTCTCCCTCCTTCTGTCTGTCTAAGTTTCCCTACTTCTCTCTCTCTCTCTCTCTCTCACACTATATGTATATGTATGTATATGTCTCTCTCGCCGCCGTCGATCCTCGGACCTCGATCCTCGACTCTGGGATCTCGATCCTCGATCCTCGGACTTCGATTCTCGATCCTCGATCCTCGGCTTTCGGTCCTTTTAACATCATATGTTTCTCCTCCCACATGCTGGCCTCCGGTAGGCAACATGTATAACCCCCCCGCATCCCCAAACTTTATTCTCCCTGTAGCACAAATCTCGGCGGCACTGGGCTACCGTACCGCTTCGCCCTCCACTTCTCTTTCAACTCGCGCATAACCTGTTCCAGAACAGCGTTAAACAGAGTTGGGCTCATCGGGTCGCCCTGCTTGGTGCCTCTCTGCAGTGGGAATGTTCGACTGGGCCAGTCGGACACCACCTGCCCTTGCTGTTGATCATATAACCTTGCAAGCATATTGACGTAATTCTGCGGCACGCCCTGCGCCAGAAGTGATTTCCATATCGAGATGTGTCGCACGGAGTCAAAAACTTTCTCGAAATCCACCGCGGCGGCCCACACCTCTTGATTGTACTCCAGCGCTTTCTCCTGCAACAAAACAGCTGTCAGCAAGAAACACCCTCGTCGTCATATTTTCACGACGCGGTCACATCCGCGACCGTAGCCGTTTCTCGTGGTCGCTCGCCGTCGTCCTTCGGCGCCACCCTTCCTGTGGCCTCCCCCGCCAGCCCGCCCAGGCCTGCCCTCCACCTCCGCCTGCACGGTTTACCCCGGGGCAGTAGGCGACCCGAGGAGGAGGAGGAGGAGGAGGAGGAGGAGGAGGAGAAGGAGGAGAAGGAGAAGGTGGAGGAGGAGGAGGAGGAGATGGAGGGGGAGGAACAGGAGGAGGAGGAGGAGGAGGAGGAGGAGGAGGAGGAGGAAGAGGACGAGGAGGAGGAGGAGGGAGGAGGAGGAGGAGGAGGGAGGAGAGGAGGAGAAGGAGGACGAGGAGGAGGAGGAGGGAGGAGGAGGAGGAGGAGGAGGGAGGAAGAGGAGGAGGAGGAGGACGGGTCGCCTAAGCCTTTCGGAGGAACCCTCCACCTCCGCCCCGCTCTGCCCTCACCCTCCACGTCGCCACGCCCCCTGGCGCCGTCGAGGCCCTCAGGAAACGAAGACGCAGCCAGGACAAGGACAGAATCGGGCCAACGGCTGATGGACAACATCCTGCACTTCTTTAAAATCAAAATTGTGCTTTGGACCCCTGCGCCCCAAACTTGATCTCGGCAGGCCGTGGCGCGCTGTGTCGATCTGCCGACTGGCCGAGATCCTGCGCCCCGCGGGCGCACGCCAATCACCATTGAATCGGGGGCCGGGCCGGGCAGCGGGGCGCGTGGAAGTCTGCGCCGCCGCCCCGGTTGCGCGGCTGGTGCACGCATGTGCCCAACCATCCGGAAGCCTCCGGAAAACCCCGGGAAAACTGCAAAACAATCAAGGAACACCGGGCCCCTCCCCAACGAAGAGGGTCCTTTCTTCGGCGCCCCGACTGCATCTCGGAGTCTCCGAGAGCCGGCCGGCGGATCTGGAGGATGCCTCGGGCGCCGCGGCCTTCTCGTAGCGTCTCGGGACGCTCTGAGAGCGCCCCGCAACGCTCTGGAACACGGGGCCGCGACTGCCAAAATGACTGCTGGTACACCGGCGTCGGAAACCTATATATCGCCAGAGAAATTCCGAAGTCGCGCAATATGTCGCCCACGCACTCTGGGAGGCCGGGATTCGGGACAGAGACGCAAACCAGGGCCGGCGCACGGGCGACGCTCGGGCGACGCACTGAACGAAACTTGGGGGGGGGGGTCGCTTCACTGGGCCTTAACAGCACGGGCCCACCCTCGTCCTGGCCCCGTGCGATCAGGCCCGCAGCCTCCAGCCCTGGCCCAGGAAAGAGCAACAGGCACCGAGACCGCTACACTCCCGGGACCTCTCCCGGGGTGCGCTCTGACCAGAGCTCCGAGGCGAGTCCAGCCGTTGCGGGTCTTCCAGGACGCCCACGACAAGGGGGGAAGGGCGAGCGAAGGGCGGCCCCGCCTCCCCTGGCCTGGAGCCCTGTCCTCTCGAGCAGCCGTGCTGAGGTCGTCCGCAGGTGGCCCGCCCGGCCTCGCCTTGCAGACGAGCTGCTGCCACACAGGAGCGCCGAGTGGGGAGCAGAACCCGCTTCGGGCCCCAAGGGCGACCACGGTGCACGATGAGAGCTCGAGGAACGGCCAAGGAGGGACCTCGAGACTGGAGAGCCCCGTCCGCATCACAGCTGCTCCCCGTCGGCGTCTTGACTGTGCCTCGTGGCCCCAAGGCCGCCCCCTGCGCTTGCTCGTTCCCTCTTGTCCCTCACCGCTCCCCTGCGAAAGAAGAGGAGGGGCACACTGCCTCGTGGTGCCCCCGATCTCTCCTCCGTGATCCGGTGGGCGCATCCGGAGTGCAGCGGTGCGTCGGGGACGCCCCACAGAGTGCAAGGTGTGGGTGCGCTCAAAGGCAGCGCCGCGGCAAGGAAGGGTCGTGCTGGATTCCGCCGTGTGGTCGTGGGCGGTACAACCGAAGCATGTGAAGGGGCCCTGGGACACACAAACAAATACACAAAAATAATACGATGCCCTATATATTCCCCATATCTTCTGGGCTCCTGTCTTCCCCCCACTTCCCATGTTTCCCCATATCTTCCGGGGAATCGACGATTCATTGTGTCTGTGTGTTTTTTCCCCTCCTGAGCATGGCCCACAAGAGCGTGGGCGAAGAGCGCGGGCCCCGTCGCCGAGAGACCCAGCCGGGCCCCACGGAGCGCGGAGGGGCCCCCGGAAAGCGGCGGGCGCTCCGAGGTGGAGGGCCCAGGCGCCGAGAGAGGAAGGGCACGCATCCAGAGCTCAGGACTGTTCGAGGCCCGCGTGCCAAGTGCAGCACCCAGACGCAGAGAGGAGGGGTACGCACCCAAAGCTCAGGATTGCTCGGAACCCTCGCGCCACCTGTGATATCCTGCCATTCTGCATGTTTCCCCCCCCCCCCCCCCCCTGCGTAAGCGCTGCACGTCTGACCACAGATGGCTGAGACAGTGAGTCCTCCTCCTCCTCCTCCTCCTCCTCCTCCTCCTCCTCCTCCTCCTCCTCCTCCTCCTCCTCCTCTCCGATGAGTATTGCATGTTGGCAGCAGCTGCGAAGAAGCGATGCACCGACGCCTTGGCACGCGTGGCCTTCAGGAAGCGCGCGCCAACCTCGCCGCGGGGGGGGGGGGGCTCGTCAGAGAGTAAGAAAAGCAGGAGGGGGGCTGGGAGGAGAGGAAGGAGGAGCAGAGGAGGACGAGGACGAGGCGGGCGCAGCGAGGCGGAGAGGACGGGGACGAGAGGACGAGGAGGATGGAAAGGACAACGGGGACGACGAGACGCGGGAGACGAGGAGCCGAGAGACCAGGGCAGACCTAGGCTGCACCCGCGATGCGTCAGGCACACCCCTCCGTCCCCAGGGAGCCCCGTGGCAGACCTCGACCGCGCCGTGTGGAGGAGAGCGGGGCGCCCGCTTTGGAAAGACTAGCGCGCCCCGTTCCGGCTTGCAGGTCCCGCCTGGAGCGGGGCGCGCCCTCCGGTCTTGGGGAGCGGCTCCGCGAGAGCAGCAGGCGGCAGCGCCCGTGGCACCCAAGAGAGAGCGCGTCGAACGAGAGCCCCGTTGCTGAAAAGAGCCGCGGGGCCCACCTCGCCGCGGGGGCCAGCCAGCGAGTGGGAAAAGAGCAGGGGGGTGGGAGGAGAGGAAGGAGGAGCAGGGGAGGACGAGGACGAGGCGGGCGCGGCGAGCCGGCAAGGAGGGGGACGAGGAGGAGGGCGGGGAGGAGACGGGAAAGCAGGGCCGATGACGAGACGCGGGAGACGAGGAGCGGAGGCGAGAGCTAAAAACCCAGGGTGCACCAACGACGCGCCAGCGCACCCTTCGGCCCCGAAGGAGCCTCGTGACAAATCTCCACTGCGCCGCGGAGGAGCGCGGGCGCCCGCTCTTGAAGGACGAGCGCGCCCCGCTCCAGCGGAGGGCCCGCGCCGGGAGAGGGGCGCGCCCCCTCCGGCCTCGGAGCGGGCCCCCCCCGGGTCCAGACATGCCCGTGCGCGCCGCCTCCGTCGTGCGAGCTCGACCCCCATGGGCGGCAGATGCGTGTCCGCCGTCGTGCCCCCATGGCACGCTGACGGGGCCACCCCGAGGGGGTACCGAGACCGCCGCTCCCCGGGCCCAGGCCTCGCCTGGGGTGCGTTCCGACCAGGACCTCGAGGCGAACTCCAGCGGCGGCGACAAGGGCCTCCAGGGAAGCCAGACCAAAAGGAACACGGGCGATGGGGGTAGAGGTATGGGTACCTTTTCCTCCACGGAGAGGCGTGGCATGGCCTCTGTGCCCTTCTCGGGGCCCCCCCTCTCTGCTGACAACAGCTGCGTGCACCGCCCCCCTCTCCCGAGGACTCCCAGGGCGGCCCCGACGACCCCCTTTAGATCTGCACCGCGTCCCAGATGCCGAAGATGCTGTTTCCAGGACGGCCCAGACACGCCACCAAGGCTGCCAAGATGGCCAAGAATGCCCTCAAGTATGCCTAACATGTGCTCAAGATAACCCAGACGCGCCACCGAGGCTGCCAAGAGGGTCCAGAAGGCCTTCAAGTCTGCACAACATCTGCTCAAGATAACCCAAGATGACCTCGAGACGGCACCAGATGCTCCCACGAGTGCCCAGGAAGGGCACAGGAGGACCCCCGACCGGGTCCGAAGAAACCCAGACCATTGACGTCCCTTTTTGTCTTAACAAAGCATTTCGTATTCTCCCCTTTTCGGGCTTCCGTCAGCTCAGGATGGCCGAAAAAGCATCCAAGGTGGCCACAAGACGGCCCAAGAGTCGCCCAAGAGGGTCCAAATTGGCCAGTAAGACCCCGACCGAGCTCCGGAGGGACCCAAGACGGCGTCAAGACGGCCCCGCGACGGCCCCCAGACACCCCCGCACTGCCAAGAGGGCCAATGCAGCTCCAAGACTGCCAAAATAAGCCAATGAGCTCCTCAAGAAGTAAAGACGGAAGGTGTAACATGTGACGACCTTCCTCTTCGCCCTCCTCCTCCTCCTGCTGCTCCGCTTCTTCTTATTATTATTAGTTTTATCTTCCTTCTTCGTCTTCTTATTAGTATTCTTCTCATTAGTGTCAGCACTACTAATATCATTACTAGCATTGGTACTATTATTGCTTATATGCATCCTCGTTATCCTCATCGCGGCTCACCGTAACTTAGGAACACGAGTTGCCACATTTGACGGCATCCCGCGCCCACATCGAACACTCACCACCCAGAATGCTGGACAGGCATGTTGGCAAGACTCACCGCAGGCAGCTGGATTAAATCCGTCCTCGGAGACGTGATGTGTACATGAAGCCCCTCCGTATGACGAGGGTTCGAGAGGGCAAGATCAGTGGGCATCGAATTGGGCAATCGGATGAAATCGGAGCGTGCGCCGGTTCGGGCCGCATCGGCACGGAGTCAGAATCGAATCGGATCGGCCGCTCCCAAGATTGAAGGGGCCCTGGGACACACACATAAATACACACAGATAAAAAGGTTCCCCATATTTTTCTAGATTTTCTGGGTTTTTGTCTTCCCCCCCACTTCCCATATTTTCGCATATTTTCTGGGGAATCGACGATTAATTGCGTCTGTGTTTTTATCCCCTCCTGAAAGATGCACAACGGAGCCGTGCATGCATCGGGCCGCATCGGATCACTCGGATCTGGGAACCGAATTGGATAGGGTGAGATCGGCATCGAATCGGACCGACCGAGCAGAAACTTACCCTGAGCGGTGGCACCTCTCGGGGGCGACGTGTCTGATCGGCGTGGGTGAATGCGGGGGGCGATACCTGGGGGGCAGAAAAGGTGCCCTCTGCGGGCCCGGAAGGCCCCCTTTCGAAACCAGAGGGGCCTTTGGGGGGCCCCTTGTCTGCAGCCCTCGCTCCCCCCCCCACTCGTCGCCCCCCCTTTTGAGCAGGCACCGACCGTCCCGGCATTCCTATAGCCCCACCACGAAATGTTCTTAGAATCCCAAAATGTTCTAAGAACAAAAGCAATGATCTTAGAACTTAAGCCTTATGTGTTCTTAGAACCTTATGTCTTCTTAGAACTCAAGCCTTATGTGTTCGCCTCTGCTTGACCCTTTACGCCTGGCCCAGTGTGGATCCCGCCGGCTTCCGCTGGCGGAGCTGCCCCCCCTTGCCGCCGCGCTGCCGCCGCCAACTCCACGCCGGCGCCCCGCCCGCCGCCCGCCGAGGCGGAGAGACCAGCAGCTCTCCCCGACCCCCCGAAGGCAAATGTTGAGGCCCTCGGGTCGGGTTGGATTGGGCGCCCGAGTTATCCGGGGTAACTCGGGTCCGGGGTAACTCGGGTTTGGATTCCCGAAAAAGGAACCCGAGTTAGCTCTGACCCGAGTTACCCGGATGATGTGGGGCTCTGGACGCCCGAATTATCCGGGGTAACTCGGGTCCGGGGTAACTCGGGTTCGGATTCCCGAAAAACGAACCCGAGTTAACCCTGACCCGAGTTACCCCGGATGATTCGGGGCTCTGATTGGAGTGATCTGGTGGGTGGTGAAGAGAATGTCAGCTCCCCGACCCCTCGAGGGCGAGGCCCCCTCTGGCACGCCCCGAGCCCACGCCCCGACGTTTCGCGGCGAAGCGTGGGCCGCTGCAGGCCGGGGCCCCTTCCTGGGGGCCAGGCGCTCCCTCCGGAGCCGTGTCCCGACGGCCCCCGGGGGCGCCCCGTGAGAGCCCCCAAGAGGGCAAAACCGATCGATCCCGAAGTGGCCGCTGCGATTGCTTTCCGCGACGCGACGGGTCTTGATCTGGAGTGCGCTCTGACCAGACATGGAGCTTGGAATCCAGCAGGGGCGACGGGAAGAGAAGCCTCCTGGAAGCGCGACGAGGGTGAGCAAAGACGTCCTCGAGCCCAGACCCGAGAGCATGGGCGCCCGTCGTGATCTTTATGCAACGCGAGGGGATCTGGGGATGGAGCCCGAAAGGGCAGGAGAGCCCAGAATCGAATCGACAAGCCGGATCGGCGATCTGAATCAACTGGATCGGCGGACATCGGCAGCCGAGTCGGAAAAGCCGAATCGGCGAAAATCGGCAGGCTAAAATGCCGAATCCGAACCAAACTCCCAAACCGAATCGCATCGGAATCGGAAATCATCGAAGTGGAATCGAATCGAATCGGAGAAACCGTCACACGAAACCAGGACGAGGATAAATTCGGGTGAGGATAAATCTACATTGTCTCGGGCGCCGCGGCCTTCTCGGAGCGTTCCAAAATGCTCAGAGAGCATGTCGGAACGCTTCGGCATGGATCGATCCTCGCCCTAGCCACGACCGAAATCGGCACGAGCCCTGCCGAAGACAGACAGACAGACAGACAGACAGACAGACAGACAGACAGACAGGCCCGCACTCCAGCCCCTTGGGGGCGGTCCTCTAAGAGGGCAGGCGCATGGGACACGCGGTCCCCCGCATTGGGAGAGACTACTGGGTTGTCGCTGCATTAACAGATTTGGGAAAACGTAAGAAAAATACACCAGGCTCAGAAAAACTACCTCGTCGCAAACTCATCCTCTAACTCATTCCACGCATCGTGTGATAGTGCATAGCTTTGCCACGAAGTGTAAATACCTTGCGTGTAGATGTACTCGCGGACGTCGTCATCCCAGCGTCTCTTCGGTCTGCCGGTCGCACGACGCGCTGATATAGAAGTCAACGCCGGATCCCAGTACATCGCTTGCGAGCCCTGTCGAAGGGGCGGGGATCGGCATGGGACGCACAGAGACATACTAGCACTGTATGTCCTCCTTGGAGGTGCGCGTCCGACCCGAACATCTAGTACACCCATCTTATAGTATATAGTATACCGTTTCCCGAGAGGTGTGGCAAGAAACCGCCCACCGCGACGCATATACTGCAAGATTTCTCGTTGGGCGCGTCGCCCAAGGGAGGGCGACGCACACATAGTGTCAGTAGGGGAACGGAGAATGACATAAACATAAACACTCGGAGGTCCGCGCAGATTTCTTGGATCGGTGCTGGGGGCCCCCTGGCGGCGCCCCGGGCGCCGCCCCTGGCACGCCCCGCGCGCCAGGGAGGGGGGTCCGGCGCGGATCCCAGAAATCCGCGCGGACCTCCGAGTTTGTTTCATGTGTATGCCATTTTTCGTCCCCCTCA